ACGCTCAACTAACCACATCCTAGGTATTTGGATTCGGTAGGAAGTCCTGCAGCACGGAACTCTGAAGCCTTCTGAAGAGGTCCGCTGCAGTGGGATGGTCAACTGCAAGGAACGCTAACTGCTTTTGGGGGTCACATTATTTGTAAATAGAGTCGTTTTGGGTGTATTGCAATTTCTGTATGAATTTAGCTCTTCTATGATCTAGGAAATGATTGAGCAAACTGCACCAAGAGGTCCAAAGAATACAGGAGATGGGTTATAAAAGAGTTCAATGGAAAAGAGGTACTTTCTGAATCAAATTACTCTGTTACTGTACCACGGTCTAGAAACATAATTCAGGAGGAATGTGTTTTTTTCTACATCTTATAACTAAGATATTATTGGTCGAAATTTTGAAGTTGGTTTTGTTAAGGCAGGAAGGCAGATATGTTTTGTTGTTGCATTTTCTTTTTTTTTTTATTGCACTTCAGCTTCTTCTACTTCTTCAAATGTCCTGGACTGACCAAACTCTGTCCTTTCCAGCTAATTTGCACTAATATCTATGTTCTTGCAGAGTTTGCAGAGCCATAGGTCATGAACGCCACAATTTTGCTTCTTCTGGGGCATTTTAGCAAAGGAGCTAGGAGTAGAAAACACAGAAGCAAATACCTTAGTCTTTTTATTGTTGGGCCTGCATCTAAAATTTTGATGTGCGACAGAAAATGTATACCACATAAACTGCATAGTGAGATACGTTAAAGGCAGTATCATGCTTTTGGGAGGGTTTTCCTCTTCGGGGAAAGAATGGTATGAAAACTTTAAAATTTACCTAAAAAAACCTTCAGACATGTATATCTGCTTTCTTTCCAATATGTAACATGTGTCAAATGACTCAGAATTAAATCGTAATTATAGTCTTAAACGACACGAGCCCCAAACAAAGCCATACAAGGGGTCCCTTTGTTTTTACCAAACAGCTGTAGTGATAGAACTGGAAATTAGAGCGTAGAAAGGCATGTCTGTTCTTCTGTTGCAGGAATTTGTCTGTATTTTAGTCTGGTTTGACCTAATCTTTGACTGCTGGGATTTTTTTTTTTATGCTAAAAGATAATTTGCTTTGCTACATGGATTGCAGGGCATGAAATACAGCTCCCAGATCAAAGGTAGAGTGAAAGCCTGGGGATCATTTGATATTAAGCAGGGAGGGGCAGACGTGTGCCGGGCAACGGAGGAAGAAACTGGTCTCTCAGCAGTCTTTGCTAAATGAGGTTAATTGAGTCTCGGTAATTGCTGACCTTCGTGTCTGAGTGAAATCGCATCCTTAACTGATCAATGCTTTTCATAAATTTTATGCCTCAAGGTCATTCAGCTGATTACACCGCCCTCCCTCCTTTTTTTTCTCCGGTAGCCTTTTGTGTAAAAATGAAGCATGGAGGCATTTTTAACATTAAAAGAATGCTATTAGGCATGTTTAAGATTGACCATGTTAATAAGCTGATGGTGTTAAATAAAAGCTATCTGGACATGAAGACTTTTCAGCTTCTCCTCTGCGCATTGCCACGCCGCTTTCAGCCTCCCCGCTCTCCCTCTGCGGCCGTGCTACCATCTGGAGATTTATGGAGTGAATATCTGTGTTCAGGGAAGTTCGGACTTTTTAAAACAAACAGCGGTGTAATTTGTAATTTGGCATTCCCTAAATCTAGGAATTATCGTCCGGCATGTGGCGCTTTAGGGATTTAAGACTGTAAAAATGGGTTTTACTGGCCAAGCTCCCTCCTTAACTTCTTTTTCTTTGCCCCCCCCCATGTTCTTTTTTACGCCTGCCGAGGAAACGGGAGGATTTCACAGCTGCTAGGAACTGAGCTCTGGCTGGGCCCCCATGACCTCCTTCTTTCTTCTTCCCCCCTTCCTCGAGCCTCGCTCTGTATTTCTCCCTCTATCCAGCAGGCTCTCTCCTCAGGGAGCTCATGTGTGGCTCAGAGGAAGCTGAATCATAAAGCATAGCTAATGAATAGAATAGAGAAGGAAAGCTGAGGCCAGCTGACGGCCCTCCAGAGAGGAGCCCAGGCCCCTGAAGCCCCGGGCTCAAATAGCAGACGGCCCTCGCAAAGGTCAAGCTTCCTGCGGACCCGCTCCAAGGGCTTTTGGCTTCCAGGCAATGTGGCTTAAATTTCCCCCTCGGTTTTGTTTAACGGTTAAAAAAAAATATTCCTCTTTCCTTTGAAAAAAACGTGGCCTTTGCTTGTCTTTCTGTTTCTCCTCATGAGTATTTCCTGTCTGTCTCATCTTTCTCCATGTTGTTAATGGAAGTCAGGGTTGCCTCAACAAAGAGAGTGTGAAGAATTTGTTATACATGACCTCCTCACACCACAACCGCAGGCAGCTCAGTCTGCCGGCAGCACGGCCCACAGAAAAAATGTCAGCTTGACCAGCAGCAGGCAGAAAGCTGCAAAAAAACAACAGCCTGCAGAAACGGAGCTCTGCTGCGACATGCCTTTTTTAAAGCATCGCCTTTTGCAAGCCAGCCTTGTAATTGTGGATTATGTGACTGACTCATACAGACTTGGCAGGTGCACAACACGGCATTAAGCTCTAAATATTGGTTGTTGTTACGTGGGATACGGTTAAAATATAAAAGAGCTTTTCTCCTTCATGCCAAAATGGGAAGGAGGAGATCTAGATTATTATGACAAATGTTGAACACAGCTTTTCTGTTCTCAGGAACTTGTTATGTCTGTCTCCCCCTCTGGATAACCACTTTGGTCATAACAACTGTTTTAGCTGTTACACAGAGTTATAGCCTCACCTACCCTGTTTTGTTTCTCCTGCTTTCCTGACCCCCGTGCCACTCTGAGCACGACCCTCAGCCACCTTCCATGTCCATTTGACAAGCTTCATTTCACTCTGAGCCCATATTTTTCTTTCAGAGCCTGCGGGGTGTCGATTCAAGGCTGAGGTTGTGTTGTTGCTTTGCTGAGGGTTGGTACTGGAGCGTTTAATGTCATCCAAAGCGAACAAAGAGTTTGTGTTTGAGCCAGGCGCTCTGCTTTCGGGGAGAATGAAAGAAGGCAATACATAACACCCTGTGTCTCTTCTATAAGCTATCACTTTATCTGCTGTTAGAGGAAGCTGAAAATATCTCCGTTCCACCTCGATGTTCCACCTATGGAGACTAAAGAGGTGTTTAGTTCCTTTCCAGTTGCAGAAATTGTACTGTTTTCATATTTTTAAGTGTCAGTCTGGAAATATACATAGAAAATAGTATCTAGGGTTGAAAATGAAAAGAAATTGCAGGAGCTCTGAAGATTTACTGCACATTAGCACCAGTTAAAGTTACCTCCAGAATCACACCAGCTGCTAATTCTTTCACTATATAGTTCTTTATCAAAAACAAATCTCATTCGACATGAATCTGTCCCTTCCACAGCTCTAAACAAAACATTCTGTTAAAGAGTCTTGTTTTGTGCAGAAGTCATTAAGTATTCAGATTTAAATTCTCTGTCTGCTAATGTTAGCAAATTATCTTAAGCCTCAACAAATTAACTCCTAAAGTTTCCTGGTTTAATAGAGACTGCAGAGTTTGACAGAAACATTTTATTTTTTATCCAACTCCTCAGATCCTCCATGTTTCTTCCCCTGAGCTTTCATATCGCTGCTTTCATGGCCTGTTAATAAAGCAAGTTCATAAGAGAACGGACTCTACTTCAGGTCAGTTATGGTTTTGGAGAAAAGAGACGACCAGCACTGAGCATAGAAGCAATAAAGTAGGAATCTGAAGGTCTTGGAAAGAAGAGGATTTCCTCAAAACACTTGTGAAGAACTAACAGGGATGCCAAGGACAGCCATCTGTGTTTACAGAATCATCCGCGTTCTCTCTATGTCTCCCTTGTAGTCACTCAGATTTGCTGTTCATTCTTTGCATATGCTCCCTTTGTGCGGCATGAAGTACGAGCGTGGCGGTTAAGGACACTCGGGGCCCTTTGGGCGGAACATATGTTCAGATTTTTACAAGTCTGCACTTCTTAGATGAAAGCAGAAAGTATAGCTTCAGAAAAAAAGTTCACTTGGTGAGCTTTAATGCCATCTTCCATCTGTTCTCTGTACTTTGTAGTGATTCAACAAAACCAAACCAACCATATATCTGTGATTAGCTTTTTTTTTGTAGTCAGATGTTAGATTGTAATATACTTTAATCTTTTTTTGGAACATATCCCTCTAAGACTTACATTTTTGTACGCATATGAAAGCCCTTTTTGGATTATGCTAAAGGAAACCTGTCTACTATTCTGTCACAGGCATTCATAAATGTTTAGATGTGGACTATATCATGATGGAAGTATGCACGCCCCCTTTTTTATTTTTTATTTTTTTTGGTTTCCTTTGGACTGCACTGCTGAGCTTTTGTTCTGTTCTTTGTTTTGTTATTGATATGAAACCAAAAATTAATAAAGATATCTATAAAAAAAAATATATATATACTTTAATAGCTGATTTATTAGCTTTAATCATCGTCACCTGGGAAAGATCCTCTGATGAAATGGGGATTAGATGCTCAAAATGAGAGCAAGTGAATTGCAAAGCATTTATTGGTCAAAAACTGTCCGTGCACGCTGCCATTTCTAAGCAGCAACATGTTTTTTCCCAACTCTTTGTCATCTGATGCTGCATTGCCAACCGACTGCCTTCCTATGTCATTGACAGCATTTCTTGTGAGGGGTTTCAGGTGGCCCAACACTGCCACCTAATGTTACCTCATCAGGGAAAGTCAGGCGTAAAAGGAGCTCCTCTCCCTTGTTGATTGGTGGCTGCTGATTGATTGGATAACGTTATGAGTTAAAGCTGAACTCTACCTCCAGGCAGTGTGCCTGGGGTTGTGTTTATTTACAGATAAATACCTCAGATTAAATGGCTTAACTTTAATTTTGTTTTAGCAAAGAGACGTTAGAAATGTGTATCTTGCTCTTAATTATAGTTCATTCTCGATTCTAATCAGCTGAATTTCTGCCTTTGTTTCCCTCCAGGTGTCTGATGTAGGATCAGAGACGCTCTTTTCTCCTACCACACCCAAAGGTAAGAGGCTCATGTGTTTTCTCTGCTTTATTCATTAACAGAACAACATCTGGGTTTTTCAAATAAGTCCGGTTCTCTCTTGCTCTAATCCTGCAGCTCCCATTCGGATTTAAATGTCGCCAGACATAAACAAGGTCTGGTGACTACACATGCCTGCGTTTTTTTTGTTCTTCCCGGGTGCACGGCAGTGTTTCTTGGACGACCCCGCCAAAGGCTTAGCCCTCCTACATATTGGTTCATTAGAGAGGATTTAGAGCCTCCCTGCCACATGCTCCCACAAATGGGAACTTCCCCTCAGGCATTACAAGCTCTCTGACAGCAGGCCTGGATCATAATTGATGCCAAAGGAAAGACAGAAAAAGGAGCTTTGTCAGCCCCCAGACAACACAAACTCTGCATACATTCACATATGGGAATTAATAGGCCTTTCCTTTTGTTTCGCCATGACCTCTCAGGATCCCACGTGATTTTCAGCATTTGTGTGTGTTACGTGACGTGCATGGGCAGGTTTTTCTGGCACGTTTTGGGCACTGTGAGGCCAGACTGCAGACTGATGGTTGCACCTGAATATTTGATACATGCAGGGAGGCTTAGCAGCTCAATACAGGGGAAAAGGGGTTTAGCTACTCAATCAGCTTACTCATGACAGACAGCAGCATGTAGACCACGTCTCCTCTGCTGGAGAAGCAGGAAGGACGCCCATTACCACAAGCTGAGATGCATCTACTCACTGTAAACTCTGGCCAAATGAGAAGGGGGTTAACAGGCGGACCCCACAAATGGATCACCTTGGTTTCATCATACAAATCTAACCAGACATGTTTTTTTTTTATTTGGTTTCTTTTAATTCAGGGGAATGCGTAATGGTTTTTTGCTAGTTTATAGTACGATTGGACTGTATGTATATTTCTAATCCACCTAAACCATCTTGGTTTCTTAGATTACTGTGGCAAACAGACACAAAACATCAGAGAAAAACCAGAACAAAGTGATCTAAGCAACAGATTGATAGATAAGGATTAAAAACAGGTTAATGTTTCCCAGCATCACAGAATCAATACAAAACATCTTGATTTTGTTAGAAATTGGTTCAGTGTTTTAAGGAGGGAAAAACCACAGGCAGCAAGGTTTCTGGCTGAAAACCTGATCCAAAGAATGTGCATAAAGCACAGCGGCAGAGTTTTTGTCTCCTTCCCTCGGCCTGAATCACATAATTTTCATTATATTCAGGCAAACATATTTTGTTTCCACCATCACTGCTGTTCGGGTTCACTGTAAAGCTGCAAGTCTGGGCTTTAAGAGGTTAGTTTCTGCAGAGGTTTAGCTGACACAAAGGCCGGATCCATGATAGACATGCAGTTCATAGAAAGGAAAACCATTATCTTTGATCTTCATACACCACAGGCTCCTCTTCTATATGTTCTTGCTCTATCTCTGACCCATAAATCTTTTTTTGTTGTTTTTGCAGTCTCACGCCAACATATTCTGGTTTTGACAGATCTGGGTGTCGTAATGCTTTCATTCTCTCAACAAAAACATTTAAAGGGATTAGTCAACTACAAACTATTCATGCAATGGAGATAATTGTAGTATCATCATGGTGGGCCGACTGTTGCTGCAGTCGCTTTACTAAACACAAGGAGCTGCTGTTGAGAAAATGATACACAGGAACAGCAGTAATAGCTGCAGAAGAAGAGCTGAAAGAAGTAAAAGTCCAATGCAACATGATCAATTGAAGTTTAGTTTGATCAGCTTCAAATTTCCCTTTGTTTTAATAACATTTTTCCATTTTACAAATGTTGTTTTACAATTAAATACCTCAAGATATTGATACCGCCACACTCGAAGTGTAACCTTTGCATGAAATCAGAGTATTTTCTCTGAAAGTTAAATTACTTTAAACCTTTTTGAGGGCGTCAGTGGTTTTGTCTAATGCTGCTTTCGATTTACCTCGGACCAGGGAAGTCAGAGTGACGTACAGCTAATTCCTGAGCTCATACTGTCCTCTATGTTTCATATATGGCCACTACAGTCGCTGCTAATTTCATAACGATGAAGAAACCGACATCTGTTTGGGTTTTTGCTGATATAGTTTAAACATTTAAACAAATATTGTAATTCAATTCAATTCAGTTTATTTATATAGCGCCAAATTCACAACACATGTCATCTCAAGGCACTTTACAGTTCAACCAGATCATACAGTCAAATTGATACAAAGTTTTCTATCTAAGGAAAACCAGTTGATTGCATTGACTCATTGACTCAAATACAATCCCCCACACTAAGCATGCTTGTAGCGACAGTGGAGAGGAAAAACTCCCTTTTAACAGGAAGAAACCTCCAGCAGAACCAGGCTCAGTGTGAGCGGCCATCTGCCGAGGCCGACTGGGGTTCAAGGAGACAGAAGCAGAGATACAAAAAGCAGCTGTAAAAGGCGGCCCCGTCCAGGAAACACACAGCCAGGCAGACGAGCTCCAAGGCAGCTCCCATGCCAGAGGACGAAGAGAGCACATCCACTCAGTCACGGTCAGAGAAACAGGACCACACTGGAAAACAGGCCGATCTCCAACATCTATTAATCTACCATCTATCTATTCTAGTAATTACTGACATAGCATGAAAAACTGTCTTAATGTTGTGTATATAGTAAAGAAATGCCATAGTCAAAGGTATTACTGTTAATGTGAGTAGCAGCCATCTTGAATGTGGAGGTCAGGTATGGATATGGTGTTCTGACTTTTTGACTCTGAACTTTCCTACTTCAAGTTCAGAAATTCCAACTTCCTAGTACGAAATGGGATGTACCATATTAACCTGACATCCCTTGTTCAGTAGAAAATGATAAAAGCAAAGCGGGAGAGAAACCAGCCTTGGTAAAATGGTTTATATCCACTAAGTTTAAAAAAAATAGTCCACTGGACTTGGTTTCCAAGGTTTGAAGACGTTTCGCCACCTCTCCAGGAAGCTTTCTCAATTCAAATGTCTGGATCTGCAGTGAGTTTGAGTCTTTGTATAGACAAGGCCTTGTATTGCTTGGAAACATGCAAATTGAAACTGACGATTGGGTTGTTTGGTTCCATTGTTAGCCTGTAATATCTGTGTATGCTAAACACCTTCTTTTATTAAACTTATAAATGTGTTGGCCAAGTGGTTAGAGCAATGCGCTTGTGCTCTGACAAGGTTGGGAGTACCCGGTTCGACCCCTATAACCTCCACTCTGGGTTCCTGAGCAAAAAAAAACTTAACCCCACACTGTTCCCGGGCGCCACTCAATTACCCCATTTACACTATCATTGAAAAATCGATCCATGCCGAGACCGGTCCAAGCTCGGATCAGTTAACCAGATAGTGTGATGTGTAAACGGTTCTGACGACCATTTACACATCGCGCTATCTCGCCTCCTAGTGACGATATGCGGTATTACTGCCAGTATTAAAGGAGGAAATCAAGATGTTGATGCAGCAAAAGCCATTATTTAAAATGTTGCGTGGAGAAGATTTCGATTGTTGTTTATAGTTGTTCTTCTTCTGTTTTGTGTTGGTTGGCAAGCAACTTCCGGAGGGGCATTACCTCCAACTACTGGAATGGAGTGTGAATCGGGATGTGCAGCCGAACGGAGTTGACATGTTCTGCTCATGCGCTCTTGTTATTAGAGAACCGAGCCAGGGGAAAACCGAGCCGAGCCCACCTCTGGAACTGGTCTGCAGTTAGCGCGGTCCGGTTGTGTCTAGCTCGGTTCAGTTCAGTTTGCTTTCCATTTACACACGATAAGTTATCTCAGTTACTGAGCTCGGACCGGTCTCAGCGCGTTTTTTCAAGGGTAGTGTAAATGGGGTATATGGCAGCCCAGGGGGATGGGTTAAATGAAGAGAACAAATTTCCCCATTTTGGGACAATAAAGGGATTTACATTTACATCATGTGTGCTTGTTCAAAGTATGGCTGGATGTAACCTGACAGGCATCACATGCTCTACCACAGTGTCTCTAATACTCAGTGAAGGACCCCTCTACCACCCAAGTGTAGAGATGAAGCTGTATACACAGGTCATAGGATTAAAGGGCTGGTGTTAGATCTGTGTAATCCAATCAAAGTCCCTCCTGATTATCACACAGATCAACCAGATCCTATTTAGGTGCAGTGCAAAAAAAAAATCTCTATCCTTAAGTTGTTTTTTACTAGCAATAAGTGTATTTTATAAGACAATTTGCCCAACTGAATAATGATTATTTATGTTTAGAAAAAGAAAAAAAAATCCTTTACTTAATATACCGGCTCAAATTAAGAGCAAAGACACTTATTTTGATAAGTCTTTACCTATTTTTAGATAGGGTGAAGGGAAAGGGATCCAGGTTAGAATTGGGAGTTATATAGGGTTAGACAGAAAAATAATAATAAAAATCTTTGTGACGAAGAGCATTAAAGGAGATATAACAATGTAATTGTGATGTTCCTGCTGGTTCTAATCTCACATTCCGGTCTTATTTTCTGGAGCTGTAACTGATCCCGGGACGCTGTTTGTTTTTAGGCTAGACTGGTTTTTCTGTGTGTGGACATTGTGTGTTATACAGAGAAGCCCACAGGCTGTTTTCCTCTGGTTTGCTGTCAAACAGCACTGCATCTACAGTGGGTCCCATTACCAGCTTCACTCGGGCTCCTGGGGGACTGCTGGAAAGACTTCTTTCCTTTAATCATCAGGCCTGTGGAGCTGCTGTCTGGTAGACTCACATGCTCTACACAAACATTTAATACATAACCGCTTAATAATGCCGTGCACTAGTTTTCATCTTGGCTCGTTTCATTTCAGCTGGTAACTTGCTATTATCAAGAACAATAGCGTGGAAGAGGCAAACAAACGCTGCAGAACGTTTGTTCTTTATAAAGTAGGAGTACAAAATAAAGCTTGTTTGGCAACTCCATCGCCTCCATTAGGACAACTGTTATTCCTAAAAAAACGCTATCTTTGTTCGCAAACCTCTTCCTCCCATCAACTATAA